TCCATTTTTCTTTTTTTTCCTATTTTGGTGAAAATAACTCCGCCTGCAGAACAGAATGGCTTTTTTCTACTGACTTTTTTTTAGCCATTACCGATTTTTTTTTTGCTTTATGTCCACTATGTTTTTTGAAATAATTAGGAAACCCGATTGACGGATTGAAAATTGGATTAAAAAGCTTCATTATATTTTCAAACACAATACAAAATAAATAAACATTTACAGCAAACATATTTACAAATATTTACAAAAAGGTTTTCATAATAATTCTCTCGTAATAATTTATAAGAATAACTCTTACCGATTTATCCGGCATCATCAATCTTTTTCTAACGCAAACTCCTTTTTGAGTGGTTTCCTCATAATAGGTAAGGGAGATTTGCTTCGCGTGCAAACAAAAAGCTGCGCGCGACACCCTCCATTTTAGACTTTTCACATTAAAATGTGAAAGTGGTGAAAATAACTCCGTTTGGAGCACGCGCAAAAGCGCCGAGGGTTTCGGAATCCGAAAACACATGATACGTCTAGGATCCTACATTTAGGATTGAAATTACATTTTATCTCGGAAACTGAAAGCAGAGAACAGATACACAGCCTTGTTAAAAGTATTAAGGAAAATTTTTATTGGAAACAAAAGATGATAACGGGAACAAATAAAAGATCAAATATAATCTTTAGGAATAATCTGACTAGGATGAAAATTATTAGCTTAAATGTCATTTGACTGAGGAAAAAAAATTCTCCTACTAAAAGATAAATAAAATTCATTGGAACAAAACATAAACATTTGACGAGTTCATTATAACATCAACAAAACATGATATCAGTTCTACCCCTTTCACATTTGTCGGTTTCAACCGCATATTTACGGATCCTACATGGCATGGAATGAGGTCCCTTTTCATTGGCTCTCAGCATCACGTGACTTGGCATGTTTCTAAATGACGTCCGAAACAAAACAGTACTTACCAATGGTGAAGGTTCGTCATTTATTTGTTATTTTCTAAAGATGTGTTCATCATTTTCTTGAGAAACATCCAAATAATCATAATGAGAAGATAGTTTTGATTTCTCCATCATAGGCGGCTCGTCCGGGGGGGAAAGGGGGGCAACTGCCCCCTCACTTACAAAAGTAAAGGGGCCTTGCCCCCTCACTTTTCAAAGTTCAAAATTAACGATCCATCGAAAAATGGATCCCAAGCTGAAGCTTTGCGGAATAATATCGAAAGTTTCCAATTCATTTTTTGTCTACTTCTGATCCAAAGAGTTTTGGAAGCTACAGATACGCTTTCAAAAGCTTTGCAATCAAAATCGCTAATTTTTTTAACAGTTAAAGAACTGGTTAGTGCAACAAAAGAATGTTTGCATGAATTCCGAAGTGAAGATTTTTTTGAAAAGTTGTGGATATATGTTAACGATATTTGTGAAGCAAAATCGTTAACTTCTCCAAAACTTCCACGCTCTAGAAAGGTGTCTTCGGAAATAGGCGGCAGTTCCTTCAGCATGTCACAAAGTGTTAAATCGTTCTATTAAACGTAAATTGCTTTTCCAGTTATAGATGCTGCTTTAAACACAATAGACGAAAGGTTCAAAGAAAATGAGCTGGATATTTTTCGATCTCTAAAAGATGTAACATGTTCCAATCCATCAAAGATCATAAAAATTGCATCAGTTCAAAAAGTCTCTGAAACATATGATCTTGATATGGAAAAAAATAAAGGGGGAGATACAAATTTTTCAGAAAATGTACAAAAAATACATCGACTCTTTGCCAGAAATATCCACGGAGATAACAGAACTGAGGAAAAGATGCAATTTTCTTGTCGAAAAGGAACTCTGTGATATACATATTTCCATACTTGACAAAACTAATCCAAATTCTCCATGTGATACCTGTCTCAACTGCATCATGTTCGAGAAGTTTTTCATGCTTAAGATCTTTAAAATCATAACTTAGAAATAGTATGTGTCAAGAGAGGCTTTCTGCACTTGCTGTTTTGAAGATCGAAAATACTGTAGATATTGACTTTACTAAGGTAATAGAACAATTTGCGAAAAACAAAAATCGCAGGCTGTCTTTCTTCTAATTTATAATACGGATGTATATTGTATAACATAATATCAAATAAATAAATTTATAACTGACCTGCTTTCTCTGTGTTTGGGAGTACGCCGTTTTGTGACGACATCATTGATCGATTCACGAGTTTAAAGAAAGAAGAATTGACTTAATAGGTAAGCGTTTTATATTTTTCTCATGTTATTATTTCATGAGAATTGAAATGGAACTTTGAATTGGAAGGAGAGACTCTACGGTGGCCATCCGTTCCGATTTTTGAGGTCGTGTCCCGAATTTTTTAGAGAAGGTCATTTAATCAATAATGACGTTAAAATCCAATAATATAGTCCATTTTACAAAAAAAAAATCCGCATTAGGGGCGCCCCACCCACACACTCGCATCTCTTTTGACCCCCCACTTTTTTGGTTCACCAGCCGCCTATGTTCTCCATGATGCGATAGCAGAAGGCAAAATAATAGTTAAAATCCCGTCTAAGCGTGGTGGTGCTATGACATCATTAAGCAGCAAGTCAAGTCACGTGACGCTGAGAGCCAATGAGAAGGGACGTCATTCTCCGCCATGTAGGATCCGTAAACATGCGTTTCAACTGGCCGTTTTTTGGCCCTTTCATGGGTTGCTTTCACATTTGTCGGTTTCTCGCCGTCCATATTGAAGCTCCGGTTCAGTTGGCTCTATGCCTATTTCTATTTCAATATGGATAGGAAGCAAGTAGTTGCAATATGGTCTGTGACCGTCGAAGACAGAATCGAAATCGTCTTTACCAGGTACACCCTATAAATCAAAGAAGGCTTGTATAAAATCGCCTCACTTTTTGAAGAACTAAGAGCGGTTGAAAATAATAAGTTCTTCAATTATTTCCGAATGTCTGCAGCATCCTTTGATGAGCTCCACAATCGGTTGAAACGTAGTATTCCGACGCAAAATAATTATTTAAAGAACTACATTTAGCCGTAAGTAATGTTACATGTGAATCTGAGGTAGCTAAAGCTTATTTTTCCAATATTAATCGTTTCCGTTTCAAAACTTAAATCCGCGCCCCTAAGGCGCTCTAAGGCGCGGCTTTCAGGTCGCAGTCTACTTTTGTGGACGTGAGTTCGAATTCCAATTCTGATATGAAAATAAAATTTTATTTTCCGTCTAAGTACTAGCCGTACATAATCTTTCTCTAACTGCATTTAAAATAAACTTATCTACTTCGGGGCTCTAAAGGAAGTAAGGATGGCCGAGCGGTCCACTCTTGTGGCCGTGGGTTCGAATCCCACTTCTGACAGGAAAATGAAATTTTATTTCCTTCTAATTTCCAGCCGTACACAATCTTTCTCAAATTCTCCATTTAAAATGAACTTATCTGTTTCCGGGCTCTACAAAAAGTCAGAACGGCCGAGCGGGCTAAGGCGCTGCGTTCAGGTCGCAGTCCGCTCTTGTGAGCTAGGTTTCGAATGCCCCTTCTGGCATGGATATAAACTTTTATTTTCATCCTAGCCGTACATAATCTTTCTCAAACTCTGCATTTAGAATAAACTTATATGTTTCTTAATTCTACAAGAAGTCAGGATGGCCGAGCGGTCTAAGGCGCTGCGTTCAGGTCGCAGTCCACACTTCTGGGCGTGGGTTCGAATCCCATTTCTGACATGAATATGAAAGTTTATTTTCCTTCTAATTTCTAGCCGTACATAATCTTTCTCAAACTCTTAATTTAAAATAAACTTATTCGTTACTGGGCTCTACAAGAAGTCTGAAAGTCCGAGCGGTCTAAGGCGCTGCGTTCAGGTCCCCATTCATCATTGTGGGCATGGGTTCGAATACCACTTCCGACATTTAAAAAAATTTATTTTCATTTTTGCCGTACATAATCATTCTGAAAGTCTGAATTTAAACTAAACTTATGAGTTTTTTGACTCTACAAGAGGTCAGGATGGCCGAGCGGTTCACTCTTGTTGGTGATGATTCGAATCCAACTTCTGACAAGAATGCAAAATATTATTTTCAATCTAGCAGTACATAATCTTTCTGTAAGTCTGAATTTAAAATAAACTTATTAGTTTCGGGTCCCTGCAAACGTCAGGATGGCCGAGCCGTCTAAGGTGCAGCTTTCAGGTCAAAATATTTTCTTGTAGGCATAGGTTCGAATCTGATGTGGATATGAAATTTTAATTTCTAGCCGTATATGAATTTTCTCAAACTCTGCATTTAAAATAAACTTATATGTTTCTCGATTCTACAAGAAATCATGGTGGACGAGCGGTCTAAGGCGCTGCGTTCAGGTCGTATTCCACTCTAGTGGGCGTGGGTTGGGATCCCACTTCTGACATGAAACCTAACTTTTGTTTTCCTTCTAATTTCTATCCGTACATAATCTTTCTCAAACTCTGCAATGAAATAAACTTATCTGTTTTAGGCAAGAAGTCAGGATAGCCGAGCTGTCTAAGGTGCATCGTTAAAGTTGCACACTACTCTTGTGGGCGTGAGTTCGAATCCCATTTCTTACGTGAATATAAACTTTTAACTTCAAGCCGTACATAATTTTTCTCAAACTCTGCATTTAAAATAAATTTATCAGTTTCGGGGCTCTGCAAAATGTCAGGATGGCCGAGCCGTCTAAGGCGCTGCTTTGAGGTCAAAATATTTTCTTGTGGCCATAGATTCGAATCTGATATGGATATGAAATTTTAATTTCTAGCCGTACATGAACTTTCTGAAACTGCATTTAAAATAAACTTATCTCCTTCGGGGCTCTACAAGAAGTTTTTCTGGCAGAGCCGTGTAAGGCGCTGCGTTCAGGTCGCAGTCCACTCTTGTGGGTTTTTTTTCAAATCCCTCTTCTGACCTGGATCTTAAATATTATTTTCTAACTAGCCGCACATAATCTTACTCAGACTCTGCATTTAAAATTTACTTATCAGTTTCGGTGCTCAGAAAGATGTGAGGATGGCCGAGCGGTCTTAGGCGCGGCGTTCAGTTCGCAGTAAACTCTTCTGAGCGAGGGTGCGAATCCCACTTCTGACATTAAAATAAAATTTTATTTTCATTCTAGCCGTACATAATCTTTCTTAAAGTTTGAATTTAAACTACACTTAGCAGTTTCGGATCGCAGCATGAAGTCAGTATGGCCGAGCGGTCTAAGTCGCTGCGTTCAGGTCGCAGACCACTCTTGTGGGTGTGGGTTCGAATCCCACTTCTGACATGAATATGAAATATTATTTTCCTTCTACTTTCCAGCCGTACATAATCTTTCTCAAACTCTGCATTGAAAATTAACTTATCAGTTTCGGTCTCTGCAAAATATCAGGATTGCTGAGCCGTTTATGGCGCTGCTTTCAGGTCAAAATATTTTCTTGTGGGCATAGATTCGAATCTGATATGGTTATGAAATTTTAATTTTTAGCCGTACATGAACTTTCTCAAACTGCTTTTAAAATAAAATTATGTTTCCGGATTCTACAAGAAGTCAGGATGGCCGAGCGCTCTAAGGCGCTGCGTTCAAGTCGCAGTTCAATCTTGCTGGCGTTTGTTCGAATCCCACTTCTGTCATTAAAACAAAATTTTATTTTCATTCTAGCCATACATAATCTTTCTTAAAGTCTGAATTTAAACTACACTTATGAGTTTCGGGCCACAGGATGAAGTCA